GGGTAATGGTGGTTCTGTTGGGACGACTAGACACTAATGGTTCGGCGGTGATAAAGTCAGACAACAACAGTCCAATAATAGTGGAGGTTGAAGGAGACATTTTTGCGGTGGTGGAGCTCAGCAACGATGACCAAACATTAGCGGCTCGTTGGTCGTGGAGCTCGACAATAGTGTTCTGACAGTGGTGAAGCTCGACGGTGGCAGCAGGGCACTGGTGTTCTAATGACAAAGGTGCGGCGTTGGTGTTATGACAGCGACAGTGTGACATTGTAGGTCTGGTGGTGGTGGAGCTCATCGGTTGCGGTATGACAACGATGGAGCTTGAAGACGGCGGTCTAGCGGTGGTGAAGCTCGACGGTGATGGCGAGCACTAGCAGTCCGATGGTGGTGGAGTTTGACAGTGGCAGTCTGGTGGTGGTGGAGTTTGACAGTGGCAGGCTGGGACTCGACGGTGACGGCGGGACACTTGTGTTCTGACGATGGTAGAGCTCGAAAATTCTCAGAAGCTTGGATCTTATTTCAGCTTTCTCCTTTAGGTCTAGATGTCAAGCTCCTCTTCATGAAGCGAGTAAGGGTCTAATTATAGATTTTGTGAGAGACATCATTTATAATTATTACATTAATCCAAACAACTCTGTCTTATCTTAATGATGTCAGAATCCAGTGTTCTCGGGCTTATTGGATTCGGCTCAGCGAGATTCTTGATTAAACTATAAGCTTGTCGAATTTGGAATATATTTGATCATTTAATTGTCTATCCAAAGCCTCCAATTGTGTTTAAATGGCTTGATCTGACTCAGAGTGAACCAAGTTTTGCTTCATTGGGCTCAACTTGTCGAGATGGTCAGATTTACTATACTTTGAGGAAATTAGAACTTGAATGATCATGAATTCACATTTGTAATATTGTTTTTTTGCTTCAAATGCTCCAAGCTTTGTTCATGATAATAATTTTTTGAGGACATATCACATATCAGAGGACATATCAGATATCATGATTAATGACTTTTTAAAAATGAAATATATTTTTACATGTATAAATTTATAACACCAAAGCATTATAATTGTAAATTTTTCTTCTTTTTATTTCATTCTTTTAGAGAATTTCTTCCTTTTTTTTGCTATTTTAGGTCATAATTAATTCCATTGCATTTTAGATGTTGATAAATTTGCATGATGCAGACGAGGACTAACGTTATGAGGTTTCAAATTTATGAGAGCTTAAGAGAAATACAAGAAATGTGCAAAACACGTCCCTATAAATTATCAAAATAATTTATTAAATTCATTTTATTTATTAGGAGTCTATTTATTATTTTTTAATTAAATAAGTTAATTCTCGTCTTTAATAAGTTAGATTTTTGAGTGCTCGAATCTCTGTCAAATTATCTTCCCAAGTTCTATTCAGCCTTGAAAGCCATACATTAGATTTGAACCTAAAGTATCATAAACTATCTTGAATTTCATACATTGGGTATATAGAGAATTTAATGGCCTTTAAAATCATACATACACTTAGTGCTAAACTCTAGAGTGTCTTGAATTCTATAGGATAGCCTTACAAAATCCAATCTTCTTTAAAATCTCTAAATTAGAATAGACCTAGTTTTAATTAACCTTAAAACTTAATATTAATTAGTTTCCAAATACATTAGCTTAGTTATGCCCTAAAACTCTAAACTAGCTTGCAATCCATTTGCATGCTTCTGATAATCTTAGTCCTTAAAACTTATAAGCTATGTTGAACCTTATTAACCTAAGTTAGTTTTGAAAGCTATAGGCTAAACTTGAACCTATCACAATAGGAAAATTGCTAAATTTTGAGGGATTGTAAGAGTAAATTATGTTCTCTTCAATTATTGGCATAAATTTCCTTGGCTAAGCAAGCCATTGATCTAATATCAATTTAAGTTGAAATTTAGAGGAAATTTGAATCAGTTGTAAGAAAAAAAGGTTAGAAAATTTTAAATGATTGCATGCATATTCTAATAGTTAAGTGGTTTCCGTTAGGAAGAGTAAATGTAAGAATCCATTCAACCTTTTATGAATATAAATTTAGGAGTTAGGTTAATCAAAATATAAGGTAAATTTTAAGGGATTGATGAATTTGTTGGTATGAAATAAAAAAAAAATGATGATGATTTAGATAAAGATGATAATGAAAAATGTGAAGGATGAGGGGAGGAGGGTGAATAAGATGTGAGAAATTGATAATTTATAAAAATAAGTATGTGCTAATTTATAATAACTATAATATTTATTCTAAGTAATTTTTTATTGTTGTAATTATGTCAAAATTGAGTGAGTGCACATTTTATTATAATTTAGAATAATATATATGAAA